TGAGGTGATCGACACTTTGGTATTTATTTTTTATTGCCAACCTTGCTTTCCAAAATACTCCAGACACAATTGTCCAACGGATTGGTATTCGGAGATTTTGGTGGTCATAGTGCGCTGGAAATGAAGCGAGGAACCTCATTTTGTAACCATTCTTTGGTGGCGCGTGCTGAGTGCGATGGTGCCGAGTCCCGTTGAAATGTCCAAGGTCTGCGGTCAAAATGTTTGCGTGCCCAGGGCATTAATACACCCTCCAGAATATTTTCGCCATAATATTCGGCATTTATTCTGATGCCACGGTCGATAAATACGAGCGTTGAGCGACCATCGACTGTTATGGCGGTCCACAGCATCACCATTGCCGGCGCTTGAGTTCTGGTGGCCAACCGAAGGTGCACATTTTCAGCTGAGCTCTTTGGCAGTAAACACGATCATTTTGTTTGTTTACAATCTGCTGGACAACGAATGTTTTCTCATCGGAGAAAACCAATTTCGACAGTTCACCTCTTTCGGCCAAGCGAAACAACTCTTTAGCTCTTTTGAGTCTATTTTCTTTCTGCCGCGGTGTAAGTTCTTACACTTATTGGAATTTCGAGCTCATTTTCGATTCTTTTGTTTGGTGTCTTATAGTAAAATTTGTTGAAGAATATTTTCGTCATTGAAGTCATCCTTCTAAAGTGATTTTAACCATATTACAGAAAGACATCTTCATAACTCTTTTGAGGGTTAACAGTTTGGATTAAAATATTCCTCACATTCTTATCTGCAATATTGCGAAAAACACTATTTACCTAAAATGCACGGATCCCGAGGAATCCTAGTCCGAAAATTTCCAAAAGTGTTGAAACAGTAGGAACTTGTCCCCTTTATATGGGTTTCTTTTAAAGCGCCGATACACCTGTCTTCTTTTTTTCTTACTCTACTTTAATAATCTGCGGAAATTCACCCGTAATATATATATATATATATTTTTTTTTTTGCACAGTGTTAAATTACCCCCTGGTAATTTATATTCATCATTCTTGTCATTATTGAAAAATGTGCAAATTGGTGCATTAAAATTAATTTGAAAATTATATGCAGCAAATGACAAATTCGTGTGGAACCCCCGGTAAAGCGAACTGAGCAGTACAAAACTATTAATGACCTTATAATGATTGTCAAGTGTTTAAAAACTTCGTATCGACTTCAATAAACAATGTGATTGCAGGAATTATAACAAAAAACTGTTCCAACACAACAATTATTTAAAACTGAGGACAAAATAAAAATATTTTGACTTCTGTTATGAGTTTTCAAACTCTTGACCATCTGTGAAGTGGGTTTGGAAAGAATGGGTAAATATTATCCATTTCATATCGGACCTAAATAAATATGATATAAATATATGTGAATATATGTGAAATTTGAAGAGACTTGGATTCTTCTATCGTTTTCTTTGAGCGTTTTGTTTTTCAAAATATTGAATCCTATGTGGACCAGGTAGCAAAAGAAATGGTCCGATCTCAGCCCACTTTATAACAGATCTTGTGTTGATGGAATCGTTTTAGATGTACCATGTCTGGAATGGAATCGGATGCTGATTTTGTCTTTTTATATTCAAAATTTTGAGCATTTGTGAGGGAGGTACCAGAAGGAGCCGACCGATATTGTTAATTTTCGCACCAGACCTAGCACTGACGCAAATATTAGGGTATGCAAAGTTGGAGCAAAATCAGATTATCGTTTCTCTATCTGTGCAAAAAATGTGTTTTTTTTTTTTTTTTGAAAATGTCGACCATTTGTGGGGGAGTTACCGGAAGAAGTGGACCGATATTGCCCATCTTGGGTTAATATAAATATTGGGATATGTGAAATTTCAAGACAATAGGACTTATATCACATTTTATGAGAGTTATAATTATTCAATATTTTGACCATTTGGGGGGAGGTACTGGAAGGAGTGGACCGAAATTGTCCACTTTCGCACCTCACCTCGCACTGATGCAAATATTAGGGTATGCAAAGTTGGAGCAAAATCAGATTATCGTTTCTCTTTCTGTCCAAAAAATATGTATTTTTTTTTTGAAAATTTCGACCATTTGTGGGGGAGTTACCAGAAGGAGAGGACCGATATTGCCCATCTTAGGTTAATATAAATATTGGGATATGTGAAATTTGAAGACAATCGGACTCTTACATCACATTTTATGAGAGTTGTAATTATTCCAAATTTTGACCATTTGTGGGGGATGTACCTGACGGAGTGGGCCGATATTGCCCATTTTCGCACCTGACCTAGCACTGACGTAAATATTAGGATATGCAAAGTTGGAGCAAAATCAGATTATCCTTTCTCTTTCTGTCCAAAAAAATGTATTTTTTGAAAATTTCGACATTTTGTGAGGGAGGTACCGAAAGGTACCAGACCTAGCACTGACTCAAATATTAGGATTTACAAAGTTGGAAAATTTCGATTTTTCTGGGGGAGGTACTTGAAGGAGTGGACCGATATTGCCCATCTCCGAACTCGATCTAAGTTTGACAAAAATGTTACGATGTACCAAGTTTGGACCAAATCGAATACTCCCTTCGGGAGTTATCGTGCGCACCAACCAGCCAGACAGACAGGCAGACGGATGAACGGACATCGCCAGATCGACTCCAAATGTTCTGAAACGGATTTGGTCTAAAGAGACCTAGGGTCTAAAACCGTTATTTCGTCTGATATATACCCTCTGTAGCCATATGGCTCAGGGTATAACAAGGATTTCTAATACAATCAGAAAATTCGCGAGAAAAAAATAAATGAAAATAATAATAAAATGATAAAAGCTTTAGAAAATATAAATATCAAGTCAAGAAAGGTATGAGACATAGCTGGCCCTTCACAGTCCGCATGGACATTGAAGTCGTTTCTGAGGATTTATGTAGAGAAGATCACGTAGAAAAGGTATTCAGTAAATAGTAGATCCTTAGGAGAATTTCTTTTTTTTTCAAAAATGATTCCAATAGGAAAAAACCCTATTCTACCTGCAGATTCCTTCTGGAGATTTGTCATATACATGACAATTGTCTTCCATAAATAGAAGGACTTACAATGGTTTACAACATATCGAAAAAGTTTCACAGGACTTCTACAAAGGACATGATAACGATAGGTTTCTCCTTCCAACTCAAGACTTTGATAAAAACTCATACGAGGCGGAACGGGAAGGACAAGGGTTAGCTAGTACTCTGGTGTTGACAACGATGTGGGATCACACCTGGATAAGTACTCTAACAAGGATATGCAAAAGTAATACTGTGATAGCCTTTAATAAGAACTCAAGCAAGGCATATGCCAGGATACTACTGCAAGAGACCTTAATAAGTACTTAAGCAAGACGGTTCGAGGATATGTCAGGATACTATTGCAGGAGACCTTAATAAGTACTCAAGCTAGATTCTACAAGGACATGCTTAATCAAGGCTATATAAGCATACTACTCCAAGAAAACGTAACAGTTACTCACATACGACTCTAATCGGATACTACTGCAAGAGATCTTAATAAGTATTCAGTTAAGACTCGGTAAGGATTTGCAAGCTTAAAAATGAAGAAACCTTAATAAGTACTCAACTAAATCTCTACAAGGATATGCATGGATACTACAGCAAGAAACTTATTCAGTACTCAAGCGAGGGTCTACAGGAGTTTGCACGGATTTGAAGAATACTCTAAGGGACAAGGCTCTGTTGGAACTTGAAAGAATACTACTGCAGAAAAAAAAAACACAATAAGTGCTCAAGGATGTCCCTGCAAGGATACTATTGTGAGAGTCCTTATTAAAGGATACTGCTAAAAGAGACCTTAATAAGTACTCAATCAAGTCTCTCCAAGGATATGCCCTTCAGCTCCTGCCCTTCATCCAATACCAAATATAGTACTATTCAGTACTTTTCGTAAAACTATAGTACACATTTCCGAAAGCACCTCCATATGCCTAACCTATATATGAACAGTTACCCTAATACCAAATCTCAGATTTCATGAACTACTTGCTCAACCAATACCAAATACAGGGTGAGATGAAAAAACTACAACCAACTTCAGACTGCTGTCAATTCCAATCCACTCGTCCGACAGCTTATTCCAGTGGCAGCTCATATTGTTTACAAGCGTACAATAGTATTTTGGTGAGAATTTTCCAGAGAAAAGATATTCGTGATGGAATTCAATCGTGATAGTATGATTCTGTTAGAGAATCCCAGCATTTAAATGTGAATAAATCTTTTGTGTCTCGTACCATCGCTCGTTAACGATACTGCGATACTGGTAGCGTAGCTCAACGTCAAGGAAGTGGACGGAAGAAAACAGCAACATCAGCATAAATGGTTTGAAAAGTGGGCTGCCATAACTGATGGTGATGGTGTGGGCTGCCATAACTGCCGATGGTTGCTCTCCGCTCGCAATAAATACCGAATATTATCACGAAAATATTCAAGAGGTTATATTAAAGCCCAAGAATGGTTACCAAATAAGGTTCCTCACTTCATTTCCAGCGCACAATGACCACCAAAATCTCCGGATACCAATCCGTTGGACTATTGTGTCTGGGGTATTTTGGAAAGCAAGGTTGGCATTAAAAAATACCAAAGTGTCGATCACCTCAAACAAGCGCTTTGCCGGGAATGGGCCAAAAATACTGCAGAGCAACATTTGGGCAGCGTGTGGCGGTTTTATTAGCCGTTTGAAGGCCATATTTCGTGCCAAAGGTGACCAATTCGAACAAATCTAAACTTATTCTAAAATTTGATGTTATTTCCGACATTTTGGCGTTTGACTTTTTTGCAGCTTTTTTATCTCACCCTGTATATGTAGAAATTAGTACTTGATACTAGTCATATTGCAATATGTGCAATATTTTGGGTAGGCCCCCGTATTTGTAGAGCATCCACTAAAGGTTTTTAATGAATATTTTGTTTATAAAAATTTAATTTAAACATAACTATTATTATTCTTCTACTTCCATTATTTTCAGACACAGTCGTCAACCAACGAGAAGACCACCGTTGTCCTGCAGTATATTTTCCAATTACTGTTCATAACAAATTTCGGCATTAACTTTGTCCTGTATTGTGTGAGTGGACAAAATTTCCGGTAAGTTTCATTCAACAAGCTTTCAATATTTTATTATTTAAAAATTTGGTTGTACTTTTGAATTCAGTGTGAAAATCTGTTCGAGATTCTGCTTCGGTTTTGCTCCCCCAATGTACTTTGAAGAAAAATCCTAATGAAGATCTTAATCCTCCGCAAATTTGAAAATTTTAACATGTACCATTCTTGTTGCGCTTAAGGAAGAAGGCAAAGGTTGGAAATGGGTGCGATTGGCGAATCAATTTTATTCCCAACTGAAAAATTTAGTCTTATAATTTGAAACATAAATTTATGGCTAGTAAATGGTTCAGAGTTTCATAAATTCTTAGCTTTTTAGCTAGAGGAGTATAGTTTTGAAATTGCTCCGCAAATATTTTTTTTCTTAAAGACTCTGTTCCCATGTCATAATTTAAAAGGCGAACGTGGCATCTTTCATCGCATACAAACCAAACCAATTGGAGATAGAAACAAGCACGTGTAATGATCGGGATGGACTTTTATTGATGAAATATTTCTTGGAGATATAGAGATAATCGATAGGACTCGCTTCAAAAATAATTATTTTTAGAGTGGGAATAAATCATATTAAATTCCTAATTATACCCTGGACTAACTCTTACAAAAAATTCACATTTAGATATCCGAAAATATTATTTAACAAGTTAAAAAGTATCAGTCGGTATTGCCGCCAGATATATACCCTCAGCCTATATTCGAGTATTTAAATATATTTTGACTAGTGTCAAGATTATTCAAACGTTTGACCCTCCATGGAGCAGGTCCCGAAGGAATGAGCCAATATTGCCCATTTCCTATCGGTCCCAAAAAATATGATATAAATATTGCGACAGATGTGCCAAGTCTAAATGGAATCGGATGTTAATTTGGCGTTTTATGAGCTTCCTGGGTACTCAAAATTTCAATATTTTGTGGAGGAGGTACCAGAAGGAGTGGACCGATGTATTCCCGCTTCACACCAGACCATGGGTTAATACAAATATTAGGATGTGTGAAATTTGAAGACAATCGGACTTTTACATCACATTTAGTAAGATTGAAATTATTAAAAATTTTTACCATTTATGGGGGAGGTACTTGATGGAGTGGACCGATATTGTCCATTTTCACACCTGACCTAGCACTGACGCAAATATTAGGGCAAAATCGGATTATCCTTACACTTTCCGTGCAAAAAGTATATTTTTTTTAAAATTTCGACCTTTTGTAGGGGAGGTACTAGAAGGAGTGGACCGATATTGCCCATCTCCGAACTCGATCTAAGTTTGACAAAAATATTACGATGTACCCAATTTGGACCAAATCGGATACTCCCTTCGAGAGATATCGTGCGCACCAGCCAGCCAGACAGACAGACGGACGGACGGAAATCGCTAGATCGACTCCAAATGTTCTGAAACGGATTTGGCCCAAAGAGACCTAGGGTCTAAAACCGTTATTTCGACTAGGCACGTTTTGGCCGTATCAAATGATATATACCCTCTGTAGACATATGGCAAACGCCATAACTTTTACATTTTTCATTTATGTGTTTGTTTCTCTTTCGAGACGAGCCTAATGATCTGAAATTTGCAGTGAAAAGGAAAGCCAGATAGACACTATCACACACTCACCACAGTGCGACGCGTTTCGCCGTTAGTTAAGCGGCACGTCAGGCATATTTGGTGTGGATGATGGCTTACAAGGGCCGTTCTCTGGAAAGTTGCGAACTTATTGCGAATTAGCATATGCGAATTAGACACTAGAAACTCTCCAAGTTCGACTCAAGTTCTATTGGCAGATATTTTTCAAAGCAAAGTTTGTTTTTTTGTCCACAACAACTACATTGCTTCCAATGCATACACTTGTTTTAGTGCTGCTTTAGAAAGACGGGTTAATGGCTCTGAACGTAGAGACGGCAACTTCTAGTTGGCTGCACACCGAGGTCCGCGGTACAAATCACACAGCCATTTTTCTTTTTAAAGTTTATTGAATGAAAGCGAAAAATGTCGGATATAGCATCAAATTTTAGAATATGTGTAGATTTGTTCGAATTGATCACCTTTGGCACGAATTATAGCTTTCAAACGGCGCTGCCCGAATGTTGCTCTGTGGTATTTTGGCCCATTCCCGGCGAAGCACTTGCTTCAGGTGACCGACATTTCTGTATTTTTTAGTTTGAACCTTGCTTTACAAAATACTCCAGACACAATAGTCGGAGATTTTGGTGGCCATTTTTCGCTGGAAATGATGCGAGGAAACTCATTGTAACCACTCTTGGGTGGCGCGTGCTGAGTCCTGTGGGAATGCCCAATGTCTGCGGCTAAAATTTTTTGCATGTCCAAAGCTTTAATACACCCTTCAGAATATTTTCGCGATAATATTCGGCATTTATTCTGATGCCACGGTAGATTAATATTAGTGGAGAGCGACCATCGGCTGTTATGGCGGCCCACACCATCACCATGTCCCGCACTTGCGAGTTCTAGTGGCCAACCCAAGGTGCACATTTTCAGCTGACCTCTTTGGCAAGTAAATACGATCATTTTCTTTGTTTACAAACTGCTGGACAACAAATGTTTTCTCATCGTAGACCACCAAGCGAAATTCCGCACTTCAACACTTTCGGCCAAGCGAAGCAACTCTTTAGCACTTTTTTTTTTCTGTTGCGGTTTAAGTTCTTGCACTTTTTGGAATTTGGAATTTCAATGGCTTTACCCCGAACTCATTTTTCAATATTTGCCGAATGGAATATTACGATATGTTCAGCTCATGGGCACTGCGACGCGGGTTTCGATCAAGTCACTTCTTTACTTTTCGAACCATTTCTGCTGATGTTGCTGTTTTCTTCCGTCCACTTCCTTGACGTCGGGCTACGCTACCAGTATCACGGTAACGAGCGATGGTACGAGATGCAAAAGATTTATTCACATTTAAATGCTGGAGTACTCTAACGATAGCCACTTGTGGTTTTCCAGCCAAATATAAAGAAATCACACTATCACGCTTAAATTCCATCTCGAAAAACTGTTTTCTTGAAAAATTCTCACCAAAATGCTTTTGTACGCTTGTAAACAATATAATGAGCTGTCACTGGTATAATTTTAACATTTGTCGGACGAGTGGCTTAAAAAATGACAGCAGTCTGAAGTTGGTTGCAGTTTTTACATCTCACCTTGTATAGAACATATATGAAAAAAAAATTACATCTCTCGATGTAAAATGATCCATTTAGTTCTTTTCGAAAAATTATAGTTTCAAAACCACCTCCATATCTTTCTTCCAGATACCAACATATAACTCAATATCAAATATGGGGAATCCAGCTCTATCTCTTCACCCAATACCAAATTTAATAATTTTCGCATAAATGTAGCACGACTTTCAAAGCCACAGATCATCAATCAACAGTGACATCTATATCAAAACTTAGAATTTCAGCTCTATTTTTTCACCGAGTACCAAATTTAGTACTATTTAGTACTATTTCGTTCTAATATAAGGCGCCTTTCAAACCCAAATGCCAAATCTCAAAAACAGATACGGTCTGTAATCTAAATTTCAAATTTCTGAATTTCATATCTATCCCATCGCATAATACCACATTTAGTACCATTCAGTACTTTCCGTACTATCCATATATCCAGCCTACACATGAACAGAGACCCCAATACCAAATTTCAGATTTTAAGTTCTATCTGTTCACCCAATGGCATGATTGATGGAACCTATAAAAAGTACAAGAGCAATAAGATTAATCTTTTTATACCCTCCACCATAGTATGAAGGGTATATTAAGTTTGTCCGTTTCCGTTTGTGACACCTCGAAATAAACATACTTGATCAGCATAAAATTCTATGTCGATTTAACGATGTCCGTCCGTCTGTGGAAATCACATTAGCTTCCGAACGAATTGAAGTAGATTCATAAAAATTTTCTCAAATGTATGATATGTCTGCAAGACTTTTGAAAATTGAAAATGGGCCATGTAGGTCCACGTCTTTGTATAGCCCCCATATAACGGTGCCTCTCAATATTTGGTACTTTCTTGATTTTAGCGACTTTATTCACCGGAATTCTTTCAAATTTGGTATTTTATGTTCGTAATGGATGCTACAGCCTATGACAGGAGATTGTCTGTGCAGTTCCACGTCTTCGTATAGCCCCCCATTTAACGGTACCCCGCGGATATTTGATATTTTGATGATTTTAGCGACATTATTTACCGGAATTGTTTCAAATTTGGTATTTGAAGTTCGTAATGGATACTGCAGCCTAAAACAGAAAATGAGCCATGTAGGTCCACGTCATTTAACGGTACCCCGCGGATATTTGATATTTTGATGATTTTAGCGACATTATTTACCGGAATTGTATCAAATTTGGTATTTGATGTTCGTAGTGGATACTACAGCCTATGACAGACAATTGTCTCTGCAGGTGCACGTCTTCGTATAGTCCCCATATAACGGTACCTCCCGATGTTCGCTATTTTGATGATTTTAGCAACATTATTCACCGATTTTTTTCTAAGGTTCGCATTTGAATATTGAAATGGCTTATGACAAATGTTACCTATGCAGGCCCATGTTGTCGTATAGACCATGTATAGTATAGACAGCTATATTCAGCATTTTTAACATTTTAATAGAATTTTTTAACGGATTTTAATATTTTTGAGAATTGCCAAATTCGTTCCAAATGGTGGAGGGTATTCTAAGTTCGGCCCGGCCGAACTTACAGCTTTTATACTTGTGTTTTTATACCCTCAGCCATATGGCTACAGAGGGTATGTATCATTTGATACGGTCAAAACGTGCCTAATCGAAATAACGGTTTTAGACCCTAGGTTTCTTTGGACCAAATCCGTTTCAGAACATTTGGAGTCGATCTAGCGATGTTCGTCCGTCCGTCTGTCTGTCTGGCTGGTTGATGCGCACGATAACTCTCGAAGGGAGCATCCGATTTAGTCCAAACATGGTACGTTGTAATATCTTTGTGAAACTTAGATCGAGTTCGGAGATGGACAATATCGGTCCACTCCTTCTGGTACCTCCCCACAAAAGGTTGGAATTTGCAAAAAAAAAAAATATTCTTTGCACAGAAAGAGAAATGATAATCCGATTTTGCTCCAACTTTGCAAATCGTAATATTTGCGTCAGTGCTAGGTCAGATGTGAAAATGAACAATATCGGTCCACTCCATCAAGTACCTCCCCCACAAATGGTCAAAATTTTGAATAATTACAACTCTCATAAAATATGATGTACGAGTCCGATTGTCTTCAAATTTCACACATCCCAGCATTTATATTAACCCAAGGTCTGGTGTTAAGATGAGCAATATCGGTTCACTCCTTCAAGTACCTCCCCCACAAATGGTCAAAATTTTGAAGAGTTACAACTCTCATAAAATGTGATGTAAAAGTCCGATTGTCTTCAAATGTCGGACATTCCAATATTTATACTAACCCAATCTCTGGTGTTAATATGAAATATATCGGTCCACTCCTTCTGGTACCTCCCCCACAAATGGTCGAAATTTTCAAAAAAAGAAAAACATATTTTTTGCACAGAAGGAGAAACGATGATCCGATTTTGCTCCAACTTTGCATATCCTAAAATTTGCATCAGTGCTAGGTCTGATGCGAAAATGGACAACATTGGTTCACTCCTTCAAGTACCTCCCCCACAAATGGTCAAAATTTTTAATAATTACAACTCTCTCTCATAAAATGTGATATAAGAGTCCGATTGTCTTTAAATTTCACACATCCCAATCATTTTATTAGCCCAAGTTCTGGTGTAAAGATGGAGTATATCGGTCCACTTCTTCTGGTACCTCCGCCACAAATGGTCGAAATTTTAAAAATAAATACTTTCTGCACAGAAAAGGAAGCAATAATCTAATTTTGAAAAACATAACGCTCAAAGAAACCGAAGTAAGGATCCAACTCTCTTCAAATTTCACACATACAAGCATTTTTGCTAACACCAGATCTGTTGTGAAGATGCTATATATCTGCGAACACCTGCTGGTACGTCACCCACAAAGGGACACAATTTTCAATATTTTTATCTGTCATAAATTGCGAAACAACTCAGCGATTCTTTACAATTGATTTATCCATCTGCTATAATAATATTTATACCCTATTTATTTAGGTCCGATACGAAATGAACAATATTGACCCATTCCTTCAAAACCCACTCCATAGAGGGTGAAGAGGGCTGAGGGTATACATCTGTCGGCAAAACCGACCGATACTTTTTTACTTGTTTTTTTTTTCTTTTTTATTTGATCGCAATAAAAGAAATTGTCTAGTACCTTGAAATCTTTTGCCACACTTTACGACCCATAGGGCAGAGTATACGCTTGCATTCCATTAAATTTAATTAAGTATTTACTCACTACAAAATTGTTTTCCTTTCTATGAACATGTTGCTTCTTTCTTTATACCTCTGGTAATGTTTCTCTTTTTTTGCCTTTCATTTTTACAGGAAAGCTGTGCTAAGCATGTTTCGTCGTGTGTCAACCGCCCAACGGGATGGAACAACACAAATAACAGGTAAATGAACAACTACAGTTATTTATTTTTCCACTTACCGTTATAATATGTTGAGAGAATATTGTGGAAAAAAGAGGAGGATAATGCATTCTGCAATGCATCTTGCATCGTGTGATTAAAACCAATACCAAGAAAATTTATTTTTAACGTAAAACGAATGGATAATAAGCACGGAAGTTTTTCTTTTCAAAAGACATAAACTATAAATTAAAAAAAAAATCATATGACAAATATAGACAAATCTGAAGGAGTGCATTTCCAATTAACATAAATTGGAAAATGTATTCTTTACAAGCCAAGGTTTAATTTTGTATCGAAATTTTAAGAGGAGGTTAAAAATTCCATCCATTCCAGTTCAAGATGAGTATTTTAAGAATCCTGGTATAGATGAGTATTTTAACAATCCTAGGGTATAATAACACTAACGTACATGGCGTCTCGTCATAGGGGGAAGGGTGGGAAATTTGTTGAAATTTTCCATTTTTTTTTTCAAATCAATAGAACTTACAACCGTTATAAGAGGGATGTACCAAAACGTGAACCTGCACAGACAATTTTCTGTCATAGGCTGTAGTATCCATTACGAACTTCAAATGCCAAAGTTGAAAGATTTCCGGTGAATATTGTCGCCTAAATCAGCAAAATACTGAAATAAAAAAAGTCCTGCCGACATAATATGCACTTGAGTAAAATTGTATCAATCTACTTCATTTCGTTCATAAGCTAGAATGATTTCCACAGACGGAGAGACCGACAGACGGACGGACATCACTAAATCGGTATAGAATTTTATTCCGATCACGAATATATATACTTTGTGGGGTCTAAAATGTACATTTCGAGGTGTTACAAATGGAATGACAAACTAAATATACCCTCCATACTAGGGTGGAGGGTAAAAAAATGCAAACTTATGTTCGAAAAATATTCTAAAACACTACTTAAATGTTATTAATTCAGCTCCTCAAAAATCAACTTCAAATTAAACAAGTTAAAAGGTATCAGTCGGTTTTGCCCATAGATGTATACCCTCAGGCAATGTTCGATTATTTAAATATATTTTGACTACAGTTATGATTATTGACATTGTTTACCCTCAATGGAGAAGGTTCACTTCGTAACGGACCTTAATAAATATGATAGAAATATTGCGACGTGCCAGGTTTGGACTATATTGATTACTTCCTTCAATTTACAGGGTGAGATAAAAAAAAAACAGATTTTACATTTTTCTTTTTTTTAAATTAAATTGAATAAAAGCAGAAATTTTAGGATAAATTTAGATTTGTCGAATTGGCCACCTTTGACACGAATTATGGCCTTCAAACGGCCAATGAATCCCTCACACGCTGCCCGAATGTTGCCCTGCGGCATTTTGGCCCATTCCCGACGAAGCGCTTGCTTGAGGTGATCGACACGTTGGTAGTTTTTAGTGCCAACCTTGCTTTCCCTAAATACTCCAGACACAATAGTCCAACGGATTGGTATCCGCAGATTTTGTTGGCCCTTGTTTGCTGGAAATGAAGCGAGGAACCTCATTTGATAACCATTCTTGGGCTTTAATATAACCTCTTGAATATTTTCGCCATAATATTCGGCATTTATTGCGAGCGTAGAGCGACCGTCGGCTGTTATGGCAGCCCACACCATCACCATGGCCGGCGCTTGAGTTCTGGTGGCCAACTGAAGGTGTAAATTTTCAGCTGATCTCTTTGGCAAGTAAATACGATCATTTTGTTTGTTTACAAACTGCTGGACAACAAATGTTTTCTCATCGGAGATGAAGAAAACCAAATTCGGCAGTTCACCACTTTCGACCAAGCGAAGCAAATCTTTAGCTCTTTTGAATCTATTTTCTTTCTGTTGCGGTGTAAGTTCTTGTACTTTTTGGAATTTCAATGGCTTTAACTCGAGCTAATTTTTCAAAATATTTGCCGAATGGAATATTGCGATATGTTCTGCTCGCTAGCTATTTTCCGGCCACTGCGACACGGGTTTCGATCAAGTCGCTTCTTTACTTTTCGAACCATTTCTGCTAATATTTCTGTTTTCTTCCATCCACTTCCTTGACGTCGGGTTACGATACGGCTGTCGGACGCGTGGCTTAGAAACGACAGCAGTCTGAAGTTGGTTGCAGTTTTTTCATCTCATCCTGTATATGAGGTATGTTCTAATGTTTAGAAAATGTTAAGAGTGTGCGTGAGATACCACATAGAGTGGACCGAAGTACTCATACATTTTTATACCTCATCTAATTCAGAAAAAAAAATTTGGAATGGTCAAAATTACAAGAAAATCGAACATTCATATCCAATTTTATGCGAAATCTTTAATTCCATATTCATTTCAGGTTTGGGGTTGAAAGAAAAACTTAGATATAGAAAGTTGTTTCTCAAGTTATGATAGATAAACTTATTGAATATTGGGAACCTTGTTGTGGGTGAGGTGCCAGAAGGGGTTCGCAGATATATATCATTTTCACAACAGATAACACATTAATGTTTGTGTGTGTGAAATTTGAAGAGAATTGGATGCTTATTACGCTTTCTTTGAGCGTTTGGTTTTTTTTATATCTTGAACCCTATGTGGGGGAGACACCAAAAGAAATTGTCCGATCCCTCCCATCATTATAACAGATCTTGTGTTGATGGCAATACTGCGATGTACCAAGTCTGATTGAAATCGAATGTTAATTTCGCGTTTTATGAGCTTCATGGATATTCGAAATTTTGACCGTTTGTGGGGGAGGTACCAAAAGAAGCCGACCGATATATACCATCATCACAGCAGATATTGTGTTAGTAGAAATAATGGGATGTGTGAAATATTAAGAGAACATGATGCTTATTTCGGATTTAATAATAATTTTGGTTATTCAAAGTTTTGACCCTTTGTGGGGGAGGAGGAAGGAGGGAGGAAGGAGTGCACCGATCTCTACCATCTTTATAACTGATCTAGTGTTGGCTAAAATATTGAGATGTACCAAATCAAAGTGGAATCGAATATAATTTTTGCGTTTTCTAAGCCCTTTGTGGGGGAGGTACCGGAAGGAGTGGACCAATATATTCCATCTTCACACCATACCTTGTGTTAATAAAAATATTGTGATGTGTATAGTTTAAAGATAATCGGAATCTTACATCACTTCACATAAGAGTTATAATTATTCAAAATTTTGACCCTTTATGGGGGAGATACCTGATTTAGTGGTCCATTTTCGCACCTGACCTAGCAATGATGCAAATTTTAGGATATGCAAAGTTGGAGCAAAATTAGATCATCATTTCTCCTTCTGTGCAAGGGGTTGATCAAGGTTGAGGAGTACATTCGATGTAAGAAGGTAGGAGAAATTCTATCTTTAAATTTAGGAATTATGCTACAAATCTTCTAAAATCGTATCATGTGGTATCATGTGGATAAAAACTTGACATTTTGGTATGAAAATCAAGATTGGAAAGCAAGTTTGATACATGCAGGTGGTTTTGGAAATGGTACTAAATTTGGAACAGTTTGGTTTACGGTGAACGGATGGAATAGCTGGAATTTTGAAATTTTTGTATTGCGATACCTGTTGGTGGTAGTTTTCTAATAAAGAGGTGTTTTTGGAAATATGTACTACACGTGCACGAAAAGTATTAAATAGTACTACGTTTGGTACAATATGGCTTTGGGTGAGCAGATGGTGCTGATGGTGGCATCTGACATTTGGCATTAGGTTCAATGTCCTTGTGTAGCCTGGACACATGGATGACTGGACAAAAAGTACTAAATGGTATTAAATTTGGTATTGGGTGAAGTGAAAGAGATACAATTCTGAAATTTGATATTTAGACAAGTGGAGATATCTATGTTTTAGATTTGGAGGTGGGTTTTGGAAATGCGTCCCATATTTGCACGACAAGTACTAAATTTGGTATTGGGTGAAATAATGGGGCTGGAATCCTTTAACTTAATACTGAGGTCACTGTTGGTATCTGGAATTGCGATATGGATGCGGTTTTGGAAGTGTTACTACTATTTTACGAAAAGTGCTAAGTCTTACCAAATTGGGGATTTGGTGGAGGGATAGCGCTGGAATTTTGAAATTTGAAATTAAGGCCACTGTTGGTCTCTGGGATTTAGATAAGGATCTGGTTTTGGAAATGTGTACTTTAATTGTACGAAAAAGTACTAAATAGTACTTAAATTGGTATTGGGGAAAGGAATTGAGATGAAATCCTGGAATTTGATATAGATGTCACTGTTGGTGTCTATGGTTCTTCGAAAAGTACCAAGTGTTGCTAAATTGGGTATTGGCTGAAGGAATAGAGCTGGAATCTCGAAACCTGATATTGTTGGTACCTGAGATATGGAGGTGGTTTTGGAAATGTGTACTATAATTGCACGAAAATTACTAAATAGTACAAAATTGGGTGAAGGCATGGAGCTGCAATGTCGAAATTTGGAACATTAAAATGGATGTGACTACTATTGGTGTCTGTGTTTGAGAGAATGAGCTCGGTTTGAATATTCTTACAATAATTGTACTAAATGGCACTAAATTTGGTAATTGCAAAAAAATTACATAGCTGAAATCCGGAAATTTTGTATTAAGATCACTGTTGGTATCTGAGGTTGAAATTTGGCGGTGGTTTTTTTAAATGCGTCCTATATTTGTAGGAAAAGTACTAAATGGTACTAAATTTGGTATTGAATGAAGGATTAGAGCTAAAATACCGACATTTGATACAGATGTCACTGTTGGTATCGGAAATTGAAATTTGGCGGTGGTTTTTATACCCTACACCACAAGGTGGTCAGGGTATTATGTCTTTGTGCATTTGTTTGTAACAGGCAAAAGGAAACGAGATAGACCCATAGCCCCATATGATCTGCATAGAATCACAATCTGAGTCGATTTATGCATGTCCGTCCGTCTGACCATGCATTTTTGTAAACAAAGTACAGGCCGCATTTATTAGCCCTATCCAGATGAAATTTTGCACAAATCATTTGTTTGG